CCCCCCCCCCCCCTCCCCCACCCCTTGGGTAACCGCGGCTTGGTTGTAGCGATAAGTTCTCGCAAGGAGCTTTAAGTCGATCGTCATCTTATGATACGTTTATCTAGGTCCTTTTCCCGCAGACTATTTGGAACGGGATTCAGATCAGTTATCAAACATTTAATTTTGGAATTCTAGAGAGAGAGAGAGAGAGAGAGAGAGAGAGCAGTGGATAACATCCTAAAGGCCACGTGACTCTAGAGTATTCCTCACTTCAAAACGGGAAATGAAAAAATGACGCAACTGGCCAAAAATTGCACATGTAATTAACTTGGGAGAAATTAACCTTGAGGGAGCCAAACATGTTATGGGTAAATGTAATATCGATTTATGAGTTCGAAAAATCAAGAAAACAACCCGGATTTGAGAAGTTACACAGGAAAAAAAGAACTGATATATTCCTTGTCTGAGTAATATCTTTCCACGGCTTGTGAGAAGCCCTGGTGGTCTCCCAGATAAAAAGGAAGGGGTGCTCGTTGGACATTTTTGAAAAGAACCCCTAAGAGGTACCAAGATCCTGTTTTGTGGGCGTGGCTTTAATTTTCTTTGTTTTTTTTGTTTTGTTTTGTTTTGTTTTTTTACCCCCAAGAGGTTAGGTACCAATTCTAAAGCAATAAATTATCTCCTGTCATATTTTTTCGGCTAAATACCCTAAAAGATACCGCAAAAGTTCACGCTGTGAGCCTTTTGAGGGTCAAGAACACCGCAAGATGTACCAAAACCGCTATTTTAACCCCTAGAAGGTACGACGAGCACCCCCGTCCTTTTTAAATGGGAGCCCCCCCCCTCCCCCCTCTCCCCGGAGGTAAACGGCGGGCAGACCTGATTAAATTTGCAATCTCAGGAAGAGCAGTCCAGATTTTAATTTCACAGTCAGGGGCCTTATCTCCAATCCCCAGCCTCCATTAGTTCTATCTCGTTCCTTTGCGCTCTCTTCTTGTTCTTGTTGGCCCTCGCTTTGTCATCAGCAAATAATGCAGACCAAAGGTGACCGCTTATTTGGTTCATGAAAACAAACTGTGCAGATTTCCTTAGCAGATTTAAAGCTCTCTTGAAATCCTCTCTCACAAACTCTGGGTCCACCTCAGATACATCAAAAGCCAACTGGATGGAAACGATAATCAAGTAGACAAAATACTGCAACCAGAAACTTACAAGCACGCACCTGAAGAGGAGAGTGAGATGTTTTCTTTTGGTGATACCAAGATTGTCTTCAGTTAAATCTTCAACCTTTACATCATGTAATGTAGCCACAACAATGGTTATTTCTAAGGCGTCTACAATGTACACTCCGATGATTGCCTTGGCTATATTCCCTAAATCAGCGACCCAGTACAGAATGCTACCAAAGCGCACTATACAGAGGCTGCAAATCAGAGCTAAAAGCCACATTCGAGCGACTTTACACAGTCGCCAAAAAATTTCCAATATTCCTTTCCATCCCTTTAATTTCAAGCAGAAACAGATGAATATGGCGCGGCTAAGAACTTCGGTGCAAGCAAAGGCTAGTTCCACCGTCATAGCTATGTTGTAGGCAACGAAAGTGCCATTCGCACAGTTGTAATGAGGATGTTTCATATTTTTGCCACAAGAGAAGGTTTGAAGACAATACAGCACCAGTCCAGGGAGGCCCGCAAATTGAAGAAACACAAGAATGAGAAACAGAATAGTCCAGGGCATCTTGCTTGGCTTCATTTCTTGTGAATCTCGAACAATCAGACGACTTTTCTCTGTGATTCGCGTCAAGGACAACATAACTGATGAATCCGTACCTGCGACGTAGCCGGGTAGGGAATAGAAACGAGCCGTCGAGAGTGTAACTCGCTGTATAAATAAAGTTATTGTATTGTATTGTATTGTATTGTAATGGATTTCGGCCGCTCGCTTCACTTTCTTGCTTCAGTTTCCAATTAATTTTAGTTTCCGAAAGTCCCGGGAAACTGGGAAACGGCAAAGTTCCACCCAGTGTACTTGCATTTAAGAGCTCCATAGCCTCTATTATCTAACTGAGCGCCTGGAAGAAGCTACCCCGGCTTTAAAGGACACTGATAAGTTACTCTGCCGAACTGAACTGGTTAAAGCCGGTTGATGTCTTCTATAGAGTTTCGTACTGGGCACGTGATCAGAATCAGCCGAGATTTCATGTATCCATGAATAAAACCCTTTCCATAGAAAATTTTAAATTCAGTCAAAAAAAAAAAAATTGAAAAAGGTGTTTCGCTAATCCTCGATATATACGCTTTAGGCGACTGATAGGTCGGAATACGTACGGAGGGAAAAGCCCTCTTCTGTTCGTTTTTCCATTTGAATTTTTCTAAGCAAACATTGAAAACTTATAAAATAAACCCTAATTGTCCTTGATTCAATGTAAATTCACATCCTTACAGAATTATATTGAGGGAGTGCCAGCTGTAAAGGTCAACTGATTTTCACTATCGCGTGGGCATGAACATTACAGAGGTTAAGTATGACGTCTACGGACGGCAAAAACTTTTGCTGTTCCCATCTATTTCAAACGTAACTTAGAATAATGGTATTTGCTGTAGATAAGGGTGTTTTCTTTATTTTTGGCTTGGATGGACTTAGAATTAATGGAAAACAAAACAAGATCAGAGACAGTTTTTGCCGTTTGTCGTTTTCATATACAGTCGATTCTCCGCTAGCTAACGGTCACCTCTCTACAACGGCCACTTCTCGACAACGGCCACCTCTAGACAGCAGCGACCTCTCTACAGCGGCCATTTTCCTCTTTCCCCAAGGTGGCCTTTATGGCCGTTGTCAAGACAACAGTTAGCGCGTTTTATTGCGTCATGTTTGGCGCGTGAGCGACATGGGTAATGTCACGTCCACATAACAAAAGCATTCACTGATTCACGCAATTTAGGTAGTTTTGGGGAAACGAGATTTTGCGATTTTACCTTTTTAGAGAGTAGTGACGGTCTCCAAGTTGCACTTTTATTTTCAATTGAAACTGTTCAGAGAAGTCCACAGGTTTGGCAGTGGTGCGTGCCGTTTTTCAGGTTTATTATTGAGGGGGCACAGCGCGAAGATCTGTCAACGGACTGTCAAAATGACATAACGTTTCAAATGTGAGACATCAATCAGTCCAGTCCCACAAAGACGTTAGCCGTATCTACAATGCAAAGTAGTCTGTTTTCGTACAGACCCTCGATTTTTTTTCGTGAGTTCGTCGAGATGCCAAGCAAAAGTAATAACCAAAAGTATTAAAAGGATTTGAGAGATCCTTAAAGAAAAATCCTTAAAGTATCAACGGCGTGGCGCACCCTTGGGAAAGACACAAACATATTTCTTCGCAATTTTTTTTTTTCTTTTTTTTTTTTTTTTTGCCGTGGGGCGCCCGAGAAAAAAAATAACTCTTGAACGGACTAAATGCAGAGTTAAAATGATTATTTTTTATATACGAATTATGATAGACATTATTCTTGGCTTTTTATTCTTTCAGTAGTACACTCTTTGGGTCGTTCAAAGGCTACTAGAAAAAAAATTGAACGACTTTGTCCTTTGTATAATACTAACAACTAAAACTAAAGAACTGTTCCTGTAACTGTCATGATAAGAATATTACACTCAGGACTCACATGAAAATGTGTTGAAGATTCAATGACAGCTTCACTCGCCTACAAGACGTACCCGACAACAGAGAGAGGTATATAATTTTTAAGAATTTACAAGTAAACCCGCGTATACTAACAACTTTGTATCGAACGTCTTGTAGAATTCAACAGTCCCTACAATTTTCCAAAAGGCGGCTCCATCGCTCATAGTGTAAATTACATTTGCATTAGGTAAATTTCAGCAGTCCCTGGTGCGCGCTACTAGAGAGGTCAGCCCTGACTGATATTTACGCGCACATGGAAATTTGGCACTATCACCAATATCAAATAAAAGGAATGAGCAAATAAACAGAATTTACCTCTGATACCTGAGAAAAAAATAGCTAGATCCATAATAATATCTTCATAAATTGATATACCTCCATTTTAAAGCTTCTCGTGTCGCGGGTCACACGATTTAGTACACTCCAGCTGAGTTTTATCTTTGTGACCTTTGATTAAAATATTCGAAAAATAAACCCGATTGATTTACATTGATTGACTGGCGGTTTTGTTCATCTGTTCACGAGTGCGCTGAAACTGGATCACGCCACCCCGCGTGAGACACACTTGTGTCACACATCCGTTTCAGTGACGCAACAAGTGGCCTTTTGAACACACATTAGATGTCCGCGAGCAGACTTTTACAATTTTAATTTGTCCCGAAGGAGTTTTCCCTGCTTGTTGGCCGTAATTATTTCAGGTCGTCGCTTCAACGCCAAGCAATGGACCGCTTGTTGAACTGTTTTAGCTGCAAAAACTCTCAACAGAAGACATCCCGAGAGAATAGACTAGCAAGCGGTCAAAAGGTTTGCTATGGCGTTGGACATATCCTGAATGACCTTGCTGCAAATGCCTGGTTCAGCTATCTTATTATTTACTTAACCAAAGTTGCTGGCCTGTCAAACAGCCATACGGGGATAGTTGTTATGGCAGGACAACTGACGGATGGAATCTGCACACCGATCACCGCCATCCTCAACGACAAAACTGTGTGTCGTTATGGGCGAAGAAAAATCTGGCATCTACTGGGGTCAATCTGCGTGAGCTTCTCCTTTCCTCTTCTGTTCACTCAGCTTCTTCGCGGTGAAGCAAGCGATTCCCTGAAGCTTGCATATTATATCAGTATAGCGGCTGTGTTTCAGTTTGGTTGGGGCTGTGTTCAAATTAGTCACCTTTCACTTATTCCAGAGATCGCCATCAGGGAATCAGAAAAAGTCGAATTGAATGCTATAAGGTGAGAGTATTATTTGATAAATATTCACGGTGGCAGCGAATTTCGCTTTTTGTCAAAAGATATTTACTTAGCACAGTACAAGAGCGTATCTGAATAATGTTCGTCCACTCTAGCGTGAGTGATGACCAATTTAATTAGTAATTGGTCGTAATTTTATTATGCTTGATTACCCGTGTTATGTTATAGTTCTCATTTTGTTTGACCCGTTTTGGTTTTGTCCTCCGATGTCGCATTGTTCGACATTGCTACTGTTAAGGCTTCTGTTACGAACACTACTAAAGGGCATTGAAATTTGAGTGTAGCGGAAATTTGGCTAGAATTCAATCGGCGTCCTTTTTTTGCATATCGATTGTTATCATAATCTGCAATGCAAAGTAATGTAAACTACAGAAACTCCGTGAAATTTTAAACTTCTGGGGCGAAGCAGTGTTTTGTGGGTCACTAGCATTGTTTCAAGGCAGCTCCTCTGCGCAATAACCTTATTCCCGGCCTTATTATTGGCGATTCGCTGAACGGAGGCTTTAAATGCTGGGTGTGTATTTTTTTTTATTATTATTTTTTTTTTTTTCAGCTGCGAGGCACGTGCGAAGGGTTTGTTAATTCCAGTGGATTTCGAAACTAAGATTGTTGTTTGGTGTTGAAACAACGACTGTAATTTGCATTTGTATTTTGAAATTCTAACTTGGCTCCGAAGTTTTGGGGAATATAACAAAAGAAATCACATCCCGAATAATTAATTTCTTTTGGCCTTGGAGTCAAGGAACCCTCTCCTCCCCTACAGCAACAGGCTCTGCTCACAAGCAAAAAGATTGAGTTAGAATCTCGGTAACTTTGAATGCGTGTTAGCGTCCCCGGCGGGGGGTGTGGGAGTACTTCCTCATATGGGCTATATAGGTATGTGCGGCCCCAAAGGGTATGGTTTTTCTGTCGTTTTGGTCATAAATAGGGTATCGATTTTGGCTACTTTGGTCATAAATAGGGTATGATTTTTGCACTCTAGTCTTCATATGGGTGTGTTTTTAAGAAGAGGCCACGTTTACATCATTATAGAAAAGAAAATCAACAAAATTCCGTCAAAAATTATGTTTATGGCAATTTAACACTGGTGTGAACTAGGGAACTAATTAGAAGGCAGTTCTGAAACAGGGTATTGATTTAATTATGGGTCAGGTCATAAATAGGGTTTCGAATTTTTGGTCATGTCATAAATGGAGTAGGGAAAAACGCAGATTTTGGTCATAAAATATAACACTACGTTCACACCAGGCCTAAAAATTCGAAGAAATCTTCACATCAAGCGGGTTACTGCGCAAATCGCGATCGATCGAAACATGTTCACCCTGAGCAAGTCATAAGGTTGTTTTGATCGTGCGTCCATGAACCAGAGCCAGCGCATTCAAGTACCCCAGGGGCTTGTCCAGTCAGGTTAACACATGCAGTGGCAAGCTTAAATTTAAAGCTTAATTTTCTGTCGTAAAACACATACGTGACACATGTCTTGAGACATAAACATATGCAAACGGTGTGTTTACAAACATGCTAATGTAAAACGTGTTTTGTATTATTACATCAACTTGTCAGTCATAGTGTGAACACGATTTGTTACGACCTAGAGGGTCCACTAAAGGGGCGAAATGACGAAATGGCACCAGCGCTTTGTAGGCTAGCTAAGTGTATCCGTCCGGTTAGCCGGCTTTGCGCTTTAGTGTGGACGGAAAACATTTTAAAAACGGAGCTTCTCGAAAACGATGACATTACGATAGTCATGTGATTTCCCTGCTCGAGTTTTCCTCAACCACAAATCCAAAATCAGAAATGACCGGTTACTGTTGCGTTTTTAAATTCCTCCGGCGTAGTGTTGACGGAGAACATTTGATGCGTTTTCAGAGTGAAACCTCCGTTTGCAAATTCCTCCCGCGTAGTCCCGCGTGGACGGGGCCTTAAAATGACAGTATGAAAGATCAAAGCCAACTCGACGGTCACACTTGAAAACCTGACAGAGAAAAATCTGCAAGGTAGTGAAATAGTAATGTGCTTAGGTATATAAATTCACGTGAATCATTCATGTGTTTATATTTCAGGTCAGCTTTGCGGTTTGTCTGCGGTATTTTCGTATTTGGCGTGACGTGGATTCTGTTACGAAGAAGTTCGGAATCTAGTATTTCGTCAGCTACATGGAAACAGTTCATGGTAAGTGTCTCTGGTGTTCTCTCTCTGCCGAAAATCAAATATGTAATTCAAAAATACTTTGTTGACAACTTTGAAGTTGTTACTTCACAACGTCAAGAGGTTCAGAGAATTGGTCAAAATTTGAACCCGGTCGACTGAGAAATAACGCGGTTTGTAACTCATATAGTTGAGATCTGCCAATAACTGAAGGGCTCATGATCAAATTCAGATTAACTGATAACTGAGAAATGCCAAAAAGCTAACTTGTTAATTGAAAATCCAGAACCTCCAGTACGACCCTCTATCAGTGGTTGTTGATTTAGCATTTATACTTTCAGTTGTCAACATGGCTCTTCATAACTCAACATCCAGAAACAAATGTTAACGTCTTTTTATATTTCAAAATAGATAAACAAACAAACGATCACGCAAATAAATCAAGATATACATTCCACTTCAAGTGGTTGGTACTTCTGTGACTGTATTCTCCAAGTCAGCATTTCAAAGTGAATTTCAGCCGGGTTTGGAATCGTACCCGCCCTTTTTTAACCCGACATTTTAATCTCATAAATGTACCCTGCCCGGGAGTTTTTTTAATTTTTTCCTGCTCCCAAATTATGCGATAGTTGGATATTGCCGATCTTGTCAAAGTCAAATAACCTTTGAATCTATGAAATATGCGAGCTTTCTCGCGTCCCTTGACACGGAAATAGCCGAATTCGAAGCCTGAAGCCGTCAGCCGCAAAGGAAAAGGAAGGGCCTGTGAAGTACCAGCCTCCAAAGCAGATGTTCTTATGGCCATAAGGACGTCTGCATAGTAGGCTAGGAAGTTAAAGTTCCGGGCTAGTCTGTTTTCTCTTATGAACAAGGTGAAATCGCGGCAAACGCAGCAAGCCCACACACCGGGCTCATATGAAGAAGCCCTATATAAAACCTCTTTGTGAATGGTTGGAGAATTTGAACGTTGAACGCTATCTAAACTTCTTCTGTCTTCTTTTCAGTATCTTGGCTTGATTATAACCGCCACCGGTTCACTGTTTAACGTCATTTTTCACGTTGGCGTCAAAGAGCCCCCTTCAGATGCATTACGGGTATGGCTGGAGGAACGGAAAAATGGAAAACACAAACGAAAAAAGGTTGAACGGAAAGGAAGCGAAAGAAACGGTGAATGAGAAATATTTCTATTAATGAAGGTCGAGAAATTAACAAAGCACGTGTTAAATTTAATTAATTTCTTACCGTTGTAGTGCTCAAATTAGGAATTTAGGCAGGAATGCGTAACGATTTTGCTTTACCAGGCAATATGAACGGACAAAATTTAACTCTTAGTCCACGACGATGATTGATTTCGTATTTCCCATTGGAATATGACGTTATCATTGCGTATTTCCGCCTGAGCAAGTTGTCAGACCGAAAGGAGTGATGAACACATCTAGATAATCGCGAAATTTAGAGATAAAGCATAAATTCACTTTGACCAGGCAGCGTCGTGGGAGCCTCCTGCGTCAGGTGTAAGCTCTGTTATAGTAACTGAGAGATGCTAACAAGCAATTGTGTATTTCTTTCAGCTCTCCTGACGCAAGCCCTGTATCAACGTCCTTCTCCCAGTAGAAGAAGTGGCGCCTCACCTGCTGTGGTAGTGACGCTCTGTGAGAAACAAAACAAAATAGCAGCTGGTAAGGGTGGTAATGAACTACGGTCGGCATCTCAAACAACTATGGAAAGTGGAGAAACTCGCAACTCCTCACAGGAAATTATCGACAAAAGTGCTATTCTAGGCGGCGGAAGGAGTAAACGACAGTGGCTAAAAAGTCCAGGGTTATACAAAGTTAGTACCGCTTTTGCCATAACATTTTTTTCGTATTAAAACGAATCGCTTCCCACATCGTATCCATCGTATCGTATCCAGTGCTTGTAATACCCCATTCACACCAACTAAACTAGGTTAACTAAATAAGGTTTAGGTTTTTTTTTTTGCAATTTGTCGATTACGCTTTGCAGTCAGTCATTTTGAAGAGACAAATTTCAAACCACTTTGCTAAAATATTTTAACCAAACAGGTGCCCTCGGTATTGGCGACTAATTTTAACCTTGTTTTGGTTAAACTACTTTTAAACATGTTTAACATATTGGTGTGAACAGGGTTTAAGTGTTGCTTCGTTTCGCCCGCGATCGTCAGACGTTTCTAGCGAGAAACCGGGAATTCCGGTATGTCCCGCCGGTGAACTGCAAGGTCACTCTAAGGCTTGTCTAATCTCAGTAAAAAGCTGGCCGGCTGCTCCAGCCCTGATAACTATTTATATATTTTATTATTATCATTTAATGGACTCATTTAAAAACTGTGCAACGTTTTTGTTTTTCAATTTCAGATAGGGGCTTTGTACATTTGTACTCGTCTGTACGTAAATGTCTCACAGTCTTATCTACCGCTTTACCTGATTGAGACAATGCGCTTTGCAATGGTGAGTCGAGGTTATTATTGTAATCAAATATATTTATCATGATACGCCACAGACACCAGTCACTCTTCAGCTAAAATATGTAAAAAAAAGATGTATCGATAGTGAACTGTCTTGCTAAAGAAATAAGTACTTTACATTTATATACATGTGAAGGTTAGAGAAGGACAGCTCGAAAGGTTACAACTCGCAGATCTGCCGGTTTTGTAGAGGCACGGACGAGCGCAAAATGCTACTTCAGAAAACGTAGATTTATTGTTGTTATTATTGTTTTGTATTTTCCATTGTGAAAAATCTCCTTGTTGCTGTTACACAGGAATCTATTGCTTTTTTTCCTTTGGTTGTACTTGTGACGGGAGTTCTGGCGAGCAGTGCTGTCAAGTCTCTCAATAAACGACTTGGAAGCAAGGTTAGCGTCAGTTTTAGAGTTCTTATTGTTGGCTGCCAGGTTATCAGTAGATTGATCTGACTAAATATTTTAACTCAGCTGGAGTTTTCCTTTTTTTTTTTTTTTTTTTTTCTACCGAAGCAGAACATTTGTTTTAAGTCAAGTTTGCTAGAAAACACGTTCTTCTTCTTTGTATGTTGAAGGTCTTAAAGTACTTTAAGTTTAAACTATTGAGAAGAAATGCAGTCACTCTCTTGTTCACTTTTTTTTTAGGGGTAATACGTACATGTAGATTGAATATCAACCTAGCTTGCGAAGCGGTGGGTGATACTCAAGAAAAAAGATTTTGCTTGGGCGAATAGACAAGTGCATCATGTATCAGGGGGAAAAAAATAAAGTCACATTCCCAAGTGCGTGCTTGATGCATGCTTGCGCGCACCATAATAGCTACTGTGACTGGCTTTTTATCACGTGCTCTTTTCTTATTCATAGTTTAATTGATTATCGACAGATAACCTTCTGCCTGGGTGCCATGATGGCTATAAGTGCCAGCTTCTGGTTTTTTGTTCAGACTGTCGATGGACGGACGGCTGTGTATGCGACTGCTATGCTTATGGGAAGCGGTGGCTCTGTCATGTTAGTGACATCACAGTCTTTGATCGCGCAGCTCATTGGTCAGGACAAGGTAAATAAGGCCTGGTTCACACTAGCGACATAACGACATAACGGCATAAACGAGATAACGGCAGAACGACATCATGGCTCATGCCAGTAATGTGAACATCGACAAAAAGTCATATGGAAAAGATCAGTTTTTTTATGTTCACACTTTTATGTTGCTTTTATGTCATTATGACAGGATGTTCACACTGTAAACATAACGACAATACGCCTTTCTTATATCGTTATGTTTATTTCGTTATGTCACTAGTGTGAATTAGGCTTAAATAGCTTTGATATAGCTGCGATGACACTTGCATGTCAATAAGTGAATTTCCTTTTTTTTTCAAACAAAGCAACTTCCAGCTTGATTAGCACGAAAATAAATGCGTAGGTGGAACACAATTTCATATAAATGACTTCGCACGAAGACTCTTGATACGGAGCAAAAGGCAACTGAGAAATGGTCCTCTGAGTGATTTATTTTTTTTATTCGTTGTAGAAATCTGGAGCTTTTGTGTACGGTTTTATTGGATTCTTCGACAAAGGAGTCAGTGCGGCCGTATTTGCCATCATTCAGGAAAATAATCCTCGAGAAAATCAAAGGTGAGCTTGCTTTTTTTTTTTATCTACGATCGATTACATTTGTTTGAGCATTTTTGGAACAATTTTGGCTTCATGAAGGGGAGCAGGGTTGCCGCAGTGGTAAAAGCGCTCGTCTCCCACCAATGCGGCCCGGGTTTGATTCCGGCCTGGTGCATATGTGGGTTGAGTTTGTTGTTGGTTCTCGCCTTGCTCCGAGGGTTTATCTCCGGGTCCTCCAGTTTTCCTCCCTCTACAAAGACCATCACCTCTTAATTCCAATTCGACCAGGATAGAAGACCCGCGTGAAAACCAGCTAAGGCTGACGTGGCTTCCTCTGTAGACATTGCAATTTTTTTTGTAACCAAACAGCGAAGCCTCGCTAAATTAAGTTCGTTTACAAGCAGCTGGACAGGGAAGGAGCCTGCGCTCTTCCCCAGGAAGGAATGAGAGAGCGAGGGAAATTAAGCCTATTGTCTTCCTTTTGTGTATTTGGTTCAGTCGCCGGGGATGAAATCGAGCAGTTGTTGTCTTTGGTGCAAACAAAGTGGGTTTTTTTTTTTTTTAACCAGTGATCAACATATATTTTCTCCTTACATTGTCAAAACATTGTCAAGCAAACTAGTAAGGAGAAGAAAGCAAGTCGTCAGCTATTAGTTATATTTTGATGTACAAGCAAATTCTTACATTTTTATCAGATTTAATTTTCTTTTGTTTTTCACTATTTACAATGCACAACAAGAAAAATGTAGGAAAACAATAATTCTTTGGTACAATACCAAATTAAGTTGTGCAATTGACAAGACAAATATAGTATACCCTATTAGAACTAACACTAAAAGAAATTTATTGCAATTGGGAAGAACATTCACATTTCAATCTTGAAGCTTAAAGTCTGATCTCTTTTTTTATAGCGTGGAATGTGTCACGTGCGATGAGTACACACGTCACGTGCAAAGCATCGTACCAGGCGTGGTCGCTTTCCTAGCACTTTTCTGTGTCATGGTTTTCTTTGAATCGATTTTCATCTGCAAAAGAAGAGGTAAGGATACGCCATTAGGCCTGGTTTGCACTACGTAAGCACAAACATAAGCACAAAGGTAGTGACGACGCCCACAGCACAAGCATAAGCACGAGCACAAGGTAGTGAGGACGCNTCTGCAAAAGAAGAGGTAAGGATACGCCATTAGGCCTGGTTTGCACTACGTAAGCACAAACATAAGCACAAAGGTAGTGACGACGCCCACAGCACAAGCATAAGCACGAGCACAAGGTAGTGAGGACGCGCAAAACACAAGCAGAACAAAAATGTTCGTTCCTCTTGTTATGGTTTATTATGTTAAGTAAGAACGCGCTACTGTAATCATAAGCAAAAGCATAAACACATAGTCCGCCATCTTATTTTACTTTATCACGGAGGTAGAGCACCGAAAATAACGTATGTTATCCATTCTGCGCATGCCTACGTACTTATGCTCTTGCTGTGCGTCCGTTATGCTTTTGCTTGTGCCTGTGCTTATGTCGCAGTGAAAGCCAGGCTTTGCACCTGGGTAAAGAAAGGGGAAATTTGTGCGACATTGCAATTCCGCCAGTACTACAACAAATCTCTCATAAAGACATAATGCGTAGCCGTTAAAAAGACTTCTTCGTAGTTTTTGATGGTTAGGCGTATTTCTTATACGAGTGCTTTGCTTCTATGACAACGCTTTTGAGTGATGAATGCGGCAACTCGTAATGCGCAAATAGAAGAATGATTTTGCTTAAATGTGGATTGCCCTTGATACCTTAGAGAGTATTTTTCTTGCCTTTGGTGAGAACTCTGCATTTACCTGGAATCAGTGTTATGAGAAGCGACTTTATGACGAACGTTAATTTGACAATTTCTCGCCCGTGGACGCGGAATAGAGGGATACGTTTAAACTAGACCGTAAAATAGCACAATAGTTCACCAGTTCAGTAGATAAGTAAATAAAAGCTCTCTGCCCCGCAGCTGGTCAAGAGAGGGGACATAAGAAGGGAAAAGCAAACGTGTATGTAGTACGTACTCGGGCTAGAAAGTCTATGGTCCTGTAATTTAAGTGCGGTAACGCCGGAAGTAAGATGATAAAAGGATAATATAAATGATCATCATACACGAGAATGAAGTCAAGCCATGCCGTAATTCTATAAATTGTTATTCTCTCAAGAGAAGTATAATAAAATTTTCAGCTTTGGTCATTTTTCCTGCTTGTTACAGTATTTATTTTGCTTAATTTCAGCGACGATGTCTGACGCTGCAGTTCAAGTGAATTTAAGTGATGACAAAGGCGATGATGAAACCAGTTCAAGCGGTGTTGGCACTGCGTCCATTACTGAGAAGGCTGAAAGTGAAGTGTTCAATACTGGAAACGTTGAAAACAGAACATCACAAAAAAGAACTTATAATTATTCTCTGGAGTCAAGAAACTTTAACACTCCCCAGGCAACAAGGGACGGCAACGTTGCTGTGCGTTTGGCATCTTCGTCTCTTCCTTCTCCAGTGTTAGATCGCAGAACGATTTTATAATATACAGCGAACAGACTATGCGTTAAAAAGGGGTTCTACTTGATAGAATTAGGGTGCTATGAAGCATGTGCGTTGAATTGATTGGGTCAGACATGATCACGGAAATTACCAGAGCTAGGTACACGGATATTTCCATCCGTTACCGAGGATACCTTCAGCGCGAAATGCAACATGTGGGCTGCAACGATAAGATTTAGACTGAATAGTAAGGAGACAAGGGAACATATCAACTTATATTTTTTCATATGATAATGATGATATCAACTTATATTTTTTCATATGATGATGATGATGATGATTATGATTATGAGATACTATGGGCCTAGAGGTGAGGTTGGCCCTTTTTTAATTGTGATTCAAATGTGAGCCGCAAACGGGCGAAAACGAGTCGCGAAGGGCTCGCTTTGACTGCGATAACAGCTTTTTTTGCTTTAGTAGCAGAAGGAAGAGAGAAAGAAAACCTTTTGGACAGAGATTATGGTGAGAAAGAAAGGTGAAAAAAAAGAAGTAAAAGATTGAAAGAAAGGAATAATGAAAAGGGAAGGAGAAGGAGAAAGAGAAAAAGAAAGAAAGAAAGAAAAAGAAGATAAAATAATGAAGATATAGCGCCGAAGCTTGTATAACAAATGAGTATACCACGAGTTATGCAATTATGCATGGTTGCCGTTCTCATACATTTTAATTTTTTCTCCCAAGGAGAATATATATCTTTTTCTTAGAGGCGTTTTCTGAGATGAACAAGGTGATCAAGTCGTTTATTCTCGTAACCTTGAATTAATTGTCAGATGGTAAAGAGAACATTGAAAGTTGATCAAAATTAGCATTAAATTTTCTTTACTGTTTTCAAACATAATCTGTCACTTTTATTGAATGAATTGAACGCTCCTGTCATAAGCTATACATATAAAAGAATCTTTCTTGACGATATTTGCCTCTTTAGCATAAGCGATGCAGTTTCTGATAGAGCTACAAAAAAGTTAGTTCTGAATGTTAAAAGGTCATAGCAAAATTAATTGTCCCAAGGAATTTGAGCCCGATGTATTGAATACTTCTTGTGCGACGCGAGTTTAAAAACTCAAAATTTTACAAAGAATGTGTAAGCTCATTGGCGCTCTTGCCACCACGACATTTTTGAGCGTTTTAAAGCCAATTTCTCCTCAAATATTACACCCAAAGAGCCAAACATTTCAAACATTACTAAGTTTCACAAGCTCTTTAAATGTTTGTAAGTCAATTCGTGTCTAGCGTGATGCCTTCCCTGCGCAGTCGTAAGTGAATGAGGAAAAATGTAAACAATGACGTCATCAAAGATTCTCGGTGGTTGATACGTGGAGGCTCAATGGTTGCTGCGCTCGACTCCGGATCGAGCAGTCTGGGTTCAAGCCCTGGCTGAAGACATTGGGTTGCGGTCTTGCCCAAGACACTTTACTCTCACAGTTCCTCTCTCCACAAAGGGGTATAAATGGTTACCGGATAATTTCTGCGATGGGAAGGGAGGGCGTAACGCTGTGATGGACTATTGTAGCATTCTATCTAAGGAGTTGGGGAGGGTGGGGAGGGTGGGGAGGGTTGGGTAGAAAACATTAAAAGTCATTTCTGTAATGGTACATAAAAAGGGATTAGTTCCGGCGGTATGGACCACTGGCCTGACGCAGACTTCACCTTACTTTACTCACACGTCCTTGTTCACATTACCTTATGGAAAAATTGTCCCCGGAATACAATATGAAGTAAAAACTTCACCGCACTCACCAAAAATGAGGACGTAACACAACTAGGGTGTTTTGGCAGCGAGTAAACTTGTACGAAATCAAACGTCTGGTTTAGTATGAAGAAGAGAAGGAGGAGAAAAAAACCGTGGAACTGAAAGAAGCCATTTAATTTGGCGTGTTTCCGAGACGCGCTTCGTTTTGCAAAGGGTACCCACAATGCTTCGCCAGGGGACTCTGTTTGCCGCTGTCATCTCTGCCGTGTTCAAGTTGATTCCCGCTTGTCTCTGTTCTTCCTCACTTGACCTCCTCCAGAGCTGGGCTTCTCACTTTCCTTTTACCTTGCGGGTTAGCTATTGAAATTACAGTTAAAATGTGCCTGGAAAATAATTCTCACAAGAGAACACAGCTTGTTAAAATACAGTATGAAGATGAAGTGGATTACGCACTTTTCAATTTCATGTGTTTTGGTGTACCACTTAACGATAAATGGATTAAAGTTTAAAGTCCATAACTGTTACAAAAGGAATTTGTATCACATCAATTTTGTTATTTTGTTCCTGATTATCGGTTTCTTGTTTTCTTCATAACATCCTGACTGCCCGGTCGGGTCTGACCGCAAACATAACAAGCATCAAAGCCTAATTGTAAGGAGTACTTTTTTTCAAAGAAAAACTGCGCGAACAATAAGGAAAAAAATGTCGTTCGGATGAAAAACAAAATACCTTTTCTCATTTGAAAAATCGGACTTAAGCTTTCCAAACCTTTTCAAATATAAAATATATATTTTATAAATTAAATCAAAACACATTCAAAATTCAAATTTTATTGCGATCAGAAGACGAAATCCGACTGCTGGCTCACTTTAAGTCATACTTTTCGGTAAAAACGATCCTCTTATTCTGAATATATCTACAGTTTATTTTTCTCTCACAGTAATCTGGAAACATAGTTCGCTGTTAGATTTGTTTTGCGCATTTTGCTTTGTAAGCACTGTCGCTTGTAATCAGAATAAATGTTTAATAAGTTGCTAAGACTGTTGTGCCTTCGCGTCTCTCTTTTCTAGCAACCTGTTGCGGGTTTTGTTTTCTTGTATAAAACGTAAATGCCCACCATCACTTTTCCTTTGAGATAAAAATACCAACGTTTTGTCAACAGCCACTTGAACCACTACTGCATGTGTTGATATCAACTCTTATCAGCCAAGATAAACGATAATCAAACAGCGCTTCGATAAAAACATTGTTCATATTCCATCAAATCAAACTCCCGTTTTCACATTTGTGCAATATTTTCAACATGGCTGTCTTCACATGTTTTGGCGGTTTCGGCGAGAAGGGCTCAGCCCGAAAGAAGGGTAGCAAGAAAGAAAAGCTTCCTATTGGGCTCAAATTTTCTCACGGAGTTGGTCATATCTACAACGATCTCACAGCCAACGCATGGTTTAGCTACTTAATAATATTTCTGACTAAGGTGGCAGGACTGTCGAATGCTTACGCTGGGTTAGTGATACTGATTGGTCAGATTACAGACGCGACGTGCACGCCCTTCAGTGGCTTCTTAAACGACCGTACGGTGAACAGATATGGTCGACGCAAGACTTGGCATTTAGTAGGAACACTTTGCAGTACAGTTGCCTTCCCGCTTCTCTTTAGCCGTTGCATCGGGTGCAGCCACAGCAGCGAGGTGGTAAAGTTGGCGTACTATTCCGTGTGTGGATGTATTCTTCAGTTTGGCTGGGGATGTGTGCAAGTCAGCCATTTGTCCCTGATACCAGAAATTTCCAAAACGGCGAGTGAAAGGGTCGAATTGAATGCCATTAGGTAAGTGCTTCCATCAGTGTAGAAGTCTTAGAAAGCACTGTGATCAACGTACAATTTCTCCTTCAAATTTCTTTGTATTGTCAAGTAAATAGGTTATAAGAATAAAGAAACAATCAGCTGTTTCAATGAACCATAAAATACTTGAATTGAAGAAATGTCCGCAGTAGCAAAGGAGAATTAATGCAGTGAAATCCCAAGTTTTCGACCCTATGGGAAGGGAAATCGCTATGAAAAAACTCAGGGCTCGAGCAATCGAGGGATGGAGAAAACGGGATACAACTGTATTTCTTGTTTAACTGCAATGTTTTGTTTTGGTGTCATTTGTGACTGAACTTTGAAAATTAAGATTTTCGTTAATTTCAGAACAACAATTTTAACAGCTCTTTGGTGTCTTCAGTTCGAAACTAGCCTATCAGTCAAATCACAAGAAATGGGGGACCGTAAAAAAGTCAAAACATTAATCGCTAGCCTTAAAAGCCAGCACCCCATTGCGACTGTGCCCCTTTTATCAGAACGCGATTGCGGAGGTTGACAATCTGGCCTGCCATAGCTTTTGCAATTACTGAAAAATGCCACCAGAAAGATGATGACAAAAATTGATAAAAGTGGCACTGATATTGCGATTTTTAGGTGAACCATATATAAATAATAAGGTCCATATCGAGCTAGCCTAAGAGTAATCTCCTTGCCTGAGGGCATGGCGGGGGGGGGGGNGGGGAGGGAGTGTACTTACTAAAGTTTTATATGGGGAGGTTCGCCAAGGGGTCCAAGCCCTTACCCTTTTATATTCCATTATTAACCGAAAAGGTATCCCTTTCTTATACTTTTACTAACCCATGAAAATATCTGCAGAAAACTTTCTACCCAAAAGATGGTCCCCAATATAATGACAACCCCCAAAAACTCCTTAATCGATAATTTCAAATGCCAGAGGCTTTCATTTTCGCATCTCTTCGTCACTAATATACATTTATTATATAAAAACCAATGGAATACCAGATGAGCTTTCGCGCGAAAACGTGATATCCTCACATGTTAAAATAACATGTTATCTTCACATGTGAAATGATCACCATTGCTATGGTTACATAATAAATGGCACCTTTCGCAGCGGAAGTAAAATGGTTCGCAATTTTATTGATGTTTATATAATAAGTAGAACTTACATGGCCACTTGGAGATACGAAATTTCTTTTCTCGCGTTGAAAAATAAAAAGTATTCGAAGAGAAATTTCGTATCTCCGCGCGGCTATGTAGTGTCCTTCCTCTCTGTGCGAGATATTCGAAAGGCCCTTTTAAACCACTATAAAATGACAATACTTTCTACCCTTTCTTCTACTTATACGTGAAAACCACACCAGCCTTTTATATACCTAGTACCTACAGCCTGAACAAGGACCCCCTATTGGAAGAAACCTCCCCCGAGGTCCTCCCTCTATAGTCCATTATAGGGAGTACCCACCGGGGCTCCCTGGTAGCTCTAAGAGTGGCTGTAAGTACTGACAAGAGAGTTTGCTTACACGCCACAGATAGTGCGATCTGGTGTTCGTTTAGGGTAAACGTATACAAGGATTATTCACGAAAAATATCAACATCAAGACAGTTATTTTATCTTTTACCGCGATCAACATTTTACAGCAGAATATCGCTGTAGCTCTCTCTATTAAAACACTCTGTGTCAGACAAAACCTCGAAATCGGCATCATCCGGCCGTACCAAAATATTTCGGACCTTAAGATTTCGGACGTTAAGATTTCGGACACTTTCTATCTCATTTCAGACAAATTTCGGGCACTCTGCTGAGATATAGCAACGGTCGAAATTTATTTCATCTTGCCTAAACTGAACACCTAATTGGACTATAACATCTGTAGGTGTGAAAATGATGATAGTTTTACTGTACCTTCAAGGGTTTACAGTTTTACAAATTCTATCAAGCCGTTACGTATCTCAAAAGGTGTCCCAAATAGCTAGAGTTCACTCCTTAAAGGAAACAAAGAGCCGTTGGAGCTAATTGGAAGTTTTATACTATACTATAAACTGATTTTAGATGCTTAAAATTTCGGACGCCTAGAAACTCCGGACAGTTTTATTTTCCGACAATTTTTGTCCAGAATTAAAATCGCTAGTAACTGTATGACAGATAACGCATAAACATAACGCATCAGTGAACGCATGTCGCGAATTCCCAAACTGCACTAAGCTCATCATTGAACTCAACCAAAAAACGCAGTTGGTTCAGTATATTGCTGGTAAGCGTGCAAATTGATTTAATTTAAAGAAAAGAATCTCATGTTCAAAATTGCACCCGTACTAAAAAAAAATTCATCAGCGAGTGAAGAGCGCGGACGTGCTGTTGGTTCCGATTGCTGCACTGATCAATTCTGATTGGCTCTTCAAAAGTTACCTGGGGTTTTTCTGTTTTTCTTGTGAAAAGAAAGTCATGCAAACATGTACGTTCAAATATCGAAATTCACTCGCCATTTTGGTCTCTTATGATGGGTGCAATTCGTTTATTTTGTGATGGCCTCACCAAGAGAAAAGTATCCAAGAAAGTGAGTCTTTCAGTATCTCAACGTTTTTGCTATTCTGTTGGCCACGTTTTGAACGATTTGGCAGGCAACACATGGTTCAGTTATCTCCTCGTCTTTCTCACGAAAATAGCTGGTCTTCCAAACGCTCACGCTGGATATGTCCTCTTAATAAGTCAAGTTTTCGAGGGAATTTGCACACCTCTAGCTGGAATACTGTGTGATAAGACAGTCTGTAAATACGGACGGCGAAAGTCATGGCATTTACTCGGAACGGCTTGCGTTACAATTTCGTTTCCGTTCATTTTCAATCGATGTCTAGGCTGCACTGATAGCAGCAATACTGCGAAATTCTTTTATTACACTGGATTTTCTATGGTATTCGGGTTTGGCTGGGGAAGCACACAAATTGGACATTTGTCGCTTATTCCTGAAATCAGCAAACGAGAAAGTGAACGAGTTGAGCTGAACGCGTTAAGGTGAGAGTATAACAAGGTTATATATATATTGCTTCTGTTAGTTTGTTAGAGAGAAATGCTACATCAGTCACCCTATACCAAGGGCATCCCAGGGTTTTTATGCGGGTGGTTGATCAAAATCGAATTGGAATCTGAACTTGTTGGTCTAGGAACGTTCTCGTAAAAGCGCAAAACTCGGGAAATAGCCTTGGAGCCATACGAGAGAACTCAATGATGGGAAATCCGCGGTTACTCCGGGGAGGTTACCCAGTGTACCCGATTTTATTTTACATTTTTGACGAAGTTGTTAACACTCCTGTTCATTGTTTAGTCCTGAAGATTTTTCTTCCACGTTAGGAAAGCATAGATCTAAAATTCAAATGTTCAAAATGTATCTTTACAACCTTTTGATTTCCTGTTTATATTCATAACTCGCCTAAATATAGCCTCCCACGTAACAAATCCGTCCCTACCGCTCCTTGCTCTCCCACGAATGCGGTGGAACGCAGTGGAGTGCGTGACGCCGTGCCCCAGAAGCGTCTGCATAAACAAACAAACATTAGAGGTTTACCAGACGAGCATGAAAATCTATCGTATGTACATCTTGCACTCAAGATTTATGCAACTAAGAGAAATATATCGGGACAAAAAAAGTTACGATAGATGTTTTAGTAAGATTGCGAGGATTTTGTTTCTTGTCCCCCACCTCAAGGGCTTTCACAGAGTTAAGAGATCTTACATTCATGTCAGTCAATCATTATGCGACAAGTGTTTTTATTTTTATTTGACCACGTCAGGGTGGTACATGCCCCATACAGCGCTTCTCTATTTCAGCGCCAATTTTTATTTTTCTTCGCTACACTAATATCGGGAACGGCTAGGTAAAAATGAAAGAACTTTAACTTCCTTTTGTTTATATTCATTCACATTGACAGTAGCAACCCTTAACCTCTTATTTTATTATTGTGTCGAGGGCGGCCCCAGGACAGTTATTTACTTGTTACAGATTACTGACCCTCGTCAAATGGAAGAAGAATGAATTCTATGTATATATAGATTTTCGACCGATTCCCGTCCATGACGTGGTTAGCTCTTCAAAATATTTTTTTAATGAGTGAAAGCATAGCTAGAGGGATTTATAGCAGGGGGTTGAGGAAAAAAATAATTTTTATGTTGAATTCAAACATCATGTTAAGGCAGAATGTTACCCCCAGGGGGTACTCCCTTATATGGGCTATATATGTCATAAATAGGGGATCGATTTTAGCCATTTTGATCTTAAATAGGGTCTGGTGTTTGCACTCTAGTCTTGAATTGAACATGCTTTTTTAGATGAAGCTACTTTTTCGTCATTATCGATAAGTCCGATCAACAAAAGCCCTTCGCGATGCCTTTAACGTCGGTCTGAACTAGGGGACTAAGTATAAGGCAGGTCTGAAACAGGATATTGATTTAGAGCCAGGTCATAAATAGGGTATTGAAAATAGCAGATTTTGGTCATAAATAAGGTAAGGCCAAAGGGTTGTGGGAAGCTGGCCGCACAGCCCCACCCAATTTTGTCGGAGTAATCCCCCTGGAATGTTACTTCTTACCTATTGTGTAGTCTCACACATATTTGTCATCCGATGATGGCTCATCATGTGATCTAACAGCCAATCAACTGGCATCTAACCCCTGAGGGGGGACTCCCATATAACAAGAACGTGGGTGCTCCTCGAAAAAGATCCCCTAAGAGGAACAAAGATCCTGCTTTGTGGGCGTGGCTTGAATTTTTTTCGCCCCTAAGAGGCACCAACTCTAAAACAACACATCATCCCCTGTCATATTTTTTTTTTTTCTGCTCAGTGCCCTAGAGGCTACTGGTAAAGCTCCTGCGGTGGACCTTTTGAGGCTGAACACCCCAAGAGGTAGTAAAACCGCTTTTTAACACCTAAAAGGTACGAAGGGTACCCCCGTCCTTTTTATGTGTGAGTCCCCCTCGATATTCACTCCCTCTTGCTTTTACCATCACGGGGATTAAGAAAAGGACGTAGACATGGGTTAACGTTTAAAACTTGATCGCAGGGTTAAATCAGTGTTCAGAAAACCGGGATCACATTATAGTAACAGGTGGGTCTAACGATGTTGTTTCCAGGTCTGCTCTGACTTTTCTATGCGGGATATACGTATATGGAGTGACGTGGATTCTTCTTGGTCAAAGCAAGGAAGAAACACTTTCTCCCAATGTCTGGAAACAATTTATGGTGAGCATTGAATTACTGCAGTAATGGACTCCTGATTACTGTAACTTTCTACTCAGCATGTATCCGTTCGGTCATAGTGTACGCTACTCCAGTTTTTCACAACAGACGAGCTGGAGTGTTTACAGAGGCGAACTATGAGAATTATCTTTCCGCGTGTCACCTATCGCGAGGCACGGGGACTCGCTAGTTTAGACACACTTTTTGACTGGAGACAGTCCCGAACAGTCAAAGTGTTTCTGGGCAACAGTAATAATCCTGATCAAAAATTATACAGAGCCAAACAAATTTAATTTTAATCTTAGAAATAATTTTACCTTATCTTAGCTTTTTGGTACACTTTGGCAGCATATCAGGCGAGTTTGGTAGAGCTATAGTTCGTATTTTGGCAATACGCAGTGGAGCCCAAATACACATGGCGAGACCAAAGGGGCGTGATATTCCTCCGAAGCGTACCAAAAAGGTACGATTAGACCGATTAAGTATTTACCAGACCCAAATTCGGCCAAGTGAGCATGATATCATGGCCATATCAGGTCAGTGAATTGTTATCGCGAAATATCAGGACAGTAGACAAGGCTTCTGATTGGCTAATTGAGAATTTGGGTTCGGTAATCGAGGATATCACGTTCCTATTTGCAAAACGAACAGACTAAAGAATAGCTTTAAAAAAAAAAGCAATTGTATATAGACGTTTTTAATTTATTTGGTGATTTTCATACATCACATTTAAGCATAGTTTTATGATATGAATTCATTTGTAACTGAAACTTTATCCAATTCAGCTTTAGATCTAGAGCTGTAATTTTAAAGCTTCCATAAACTATCTATCTGTCAGTGTCATTAAGCATCCAATCATAACTACAAAATCGACTTTTTCACAAAAAACTGTTATAGTGACAGATGTCCAACAGTAGCAATTAAACATAGACACGATGATAGATGCGAATGCAGCCATGACACCACTGGAAAAAAGACCTGAAAAAATTGCAGCGATATCGCAACGCTCGTGGGTTCGAATCCCGTTCAAAGCCTGAAAATTTTTTCAGGTCTTTTTTCCAATAGTGTTACGGCTGCATTCTCATCTATCATCATGTGATTTTTTAAACATTAATTCAGTGTTCTTAATAGAAATCCAACTTTTTGCAAACAAACGCTGACGAACTTCCACCCGGTCAGTTCTAGCTGTGTTCTCAGGAAACTGAGTGTACAACATTACAATTTGATATCACAAACCGCTGACCCACTTAGCAAATGAGAAAAACAGTATTCAACGTCAAATATCTCTGCGAAAAGTATTCATAGAAACTTGAGTTATTGCTGAACAAATCTCAAATCTGAGTATTGCCTTTTACATTTTAAGTGTTATGTTTTCCATGCATTTCTCTTTTACCAGTAAATAAACAGTGGATTTCTTGATTTCTGGAGCACCAACATTCTCATTAAATGAGACAGAATATCCTTTTATCAAACTTCTTTAGCTTATAGACTATAAATATTTTTTAAAGGGATCCAGTCTCACGAAAAAATTTCTGACATTATATTCTGGGTTTTTCCTATCGAAGAACACTCATGTGTTATTTCTTCGCACCTTGTTTGTCCTATTTTCACAATGGCGCATTTTATTTTGTGTAAATCAGAGCGCTGTGTTATTATGCAGGAATCCATGGCTCTTGTCGGCTCGATGAACGAATTGAGCATCGAACGTTTAATTCCTAGCAAGTTGTGCAAGATCTTGATCCTAAAAAATCTACAAAATGAATATTAGGGTGAAACTTAAGGATGAAAGCAGGCTCACGGTTTGGTAGCACAAAGTCTCCGAATCGAGCGGCGAAGCCGCGAGGCAAGAGAGTCTTCGCCCCTCTTCACCAGACTCGTCCGACAGGATCGCTTTGCACGCTGTGTGACACAAAGCTGAGCCTTCTCGTAGGCTAGTTAAAGATAAACAAACATGAAACAATTAATGGCATATATTTTTATTTTTGCACCCTTAGTATCTTGGTTTCATCGTTGTGGGGACGGGTACGCTTTTTAATATCATTTTTCACGTGGGAACGAAAGAGCCTCCGTCAGAAGCGTTGCTAAAATGGCAGCAAGAAAGAAAACACAAGAAACTTGGAAAAGGAAAGAGTGAAAGAAAAGGTGAAGGCTTTTAATGTTAAACTGAGCAGTTCAGGTCAGGATCACGGGCAAAGGTGATGCTGGGATAAGTTGTGAGTTACCGAGAATTGTGTTCTGAGTTCCACCAAAACTCTCCTAAGCCTGTGACCTGCAAAGGGCTAAAACAACGTAGAATCAGAAAACACCTCGTGAGATTGCACGCTTTGAAATTCATACTTCCATAACTTCCAAAAACACAGAACTAGCGCGAATAAGCTATTAACGTAATGATTATGAGAGCAAGGTAAATTTACAATTCCTGAATCGGAATAGAAGTCGAGAGTAATTTTTCCTTTCATTTCCTCGCAGCGTTTTGTAAAAGAAACAAGAAATATTTTAATTCCTCCATATTCCTATCAAGTAATATATAAAAACATGTACACTTAAGAAAGCTTTGGGGAACTCGTAAAAGCTATGGAAAGGCTTGCCTCTAACTAAGTTTCTCACAGCATTTACAATCGCAGTTCTCCCAAACTGATCAAGCCACTTGACTTGTTCACAACCTGGACCTCTTGCCTCAGAAATTCACTTGCTAGACTTCGCTGTACTGATGACTAACTAGTTAAGATGACGATTAAACCCGAAAATAATCATTTAGCAAAGAGAAACTCGAATCTTAGTGATATCATTTTTAAACTGTTGAAGATATATTATTTTAATTCTAAATTAGCTCTTCTCAAAGTTGACTGTCACCCTTCCCCCTTGGGACACCGCTTTCCCTCTCAACGAGTTACAACTTCCGTATGTGAGAAACTGCAGACGCCATCTTCTTGTAGCGATGAACTGACGTCTTCAGCTGTGTCTTCTATTGAATCCACCCTGGAGAAAAATGAAACAGAAAATGTGATAAAGGAAGAAATCATCTGTAGAAACGCAGCAAATGGTACTCCAAGAACCTGGAAAGACTGGCTGAAAGACCCAGCATTTTACAAGGTTTTTGATAGTAATTTTCATATTTTTCACCGAATCAGAAAGTGTTTCTTTTTACAGTTTGTAAAATCATTGTGAAATTTGTTCGATACAAATTTGAAACCGGTTTGTAAGGAACTGCTGGCCGAATCTTGTTACTACACTCTGTGATAAGAGACATAGATCATAGTCTCTCGTCTGTGATTGGTCAAAAAACTAGCGCCACCTGCTCAAACACTCACGCGCCAAACCATAACCATTTGCCACTTGAATAGGTCACGCGCGTTTTCCCGCATCTACTCTGAGATACGCGTATTTCGTGGCAATTCTGGTCGGTTTTACGATTCAAAAGAGCTCTACTGCAGGGTAAGGCATTTCTGTTCTTCCTCACAGTTTGACTGAAATTAAATTTCACGAATTTAGCGTTGGTAAAGTAATCTCTTTCCCACATCTCTTGTGGGGGAAGCCGAAGGCGAGATCTTGCTCACAAGAGAACTGGGAATGAGATTATCGGTAATCGTATGAAAGCGAGTGTCATTAAGGATTGAAGATTGCTTGAGCTTTCAAATGATTACTCCGCATTTATCATTTTACTAAAAAACAAAGTTACAAACGCGCGCGCTTAAATTGAACTGCAGTGCAAATTAGAAATCAATTATAAATTGATATTTGTCTGCTCACAGCCAATCACAATGAAACAATTTTCTCAGGCATCTAATAAAATTCAAAAAAGGATGTTATAATTCTGCAGTATATCGTAGTTAGTCTGCACTCAGCTTCATGTAAAATACGGTGTGAATCAATACCAGTTGCGTTGTGTTTCTTATTTGCAGACTGGTTTAATTTACACTTGCAGCCGACTTGTAGTAAATGTGTCTCAGTCGTATCTGCCTCTTTACCTAACGGAAACACTTAAGTTTGAAAAGGTTAGTGAGTTAACGACAGCTTAAGTGCATCTTGTTGTGATTGTAATGAAATTTTAAGGCCATTGGGGCATGCCAACATTGAATAACTGAAAATTCCCCAATTTAAGGACATGTTTGGGTTTGTGAATGGTGTGACCTCGGAGGATACGAGACACTCCTTGACAAAGGAAATCTAAACGCACCTAAAGGGCATTCCGTCAAAATAGAACAACAAACTTCCAGAGAAACACTCACTTGGAAGAACTAAAGCGTAAAGAATCCAAAACTAAGACTGGAACTCACTGGAGAAATCAAACCAAGGTCAACACGAATTCTAAGCATGTCTACCCTTGGAAATAATTTTCAGAGACAAACTTAGTCTACATACAAACCCCATGTGCAGGCTTAGCTTGACCTTGACCAACCCCTATCCTAAATTATAAGACTATCAAGATGTTCATAAACTGTCCCTTTTTCCTAGAAAACATTCAATTCTCAAAATCCCTAAGTTAGCAAAATTCAACTTCAAAACAGTTTTGATTTTTCCTTAATGCCTCTCGTCCTATTTCATAACATTTCAATTATAACGCCTTGATATGACGGAACAGTTTCTCTTTTCAGGAAGCAATTGCCTATTTTCCTCTTGTGGTGTTAATTAGTGGTGTTTTTGCCAGCGGAACAGTTAAGGCCTTGAACAAAAGGCTCGGCAGTAAGGTTGGTGAAGTCTCTTGCTCTTAGCCAGTATACAGTTTGTATTTCAAGCATTTATATTATGGCATTGTCTTCGTATTTTTTTTAATTATTTTTCAAGTTTTGTGTCATTAAGTGCTTCTATTTCAGCTTTTTTTTTTTTTTTAATTCCGATATTGAATAAACATAAGACGTGTTCCTGGGTGGCAATCAATTTACTTAATGGCTCTGATTAGATTTCAATCTTCTTTCATTTTATTGTTGTCAGATTACATTTTCCTTGGGATGCATGCTGGCAATGAGCGCCTGTTTTTGGTTTTATGTCCAAGACATAAGAGGACGTAATGTTGTTTACGCCACCGCAATAATTATGGGATGCGGAGGATCTGTCATGCTGGTGACGTCATTATCTTTGATAGCAGAACTGATTGGGCACGATAAGGTAATGTGCTATAAGCAGTTCAGAACAAACAAACAAACAAACACAAATAAGCTAAATACAATGCAAGTCGACAGTTGAGTAATTTCTGTCGAATAAAAGTTTTTGCTAATACCGTAAACTGTCGCTTATAAGTCCTGGGCTTATGCAACTTCGTAAGGGATTTTGGATGAGCTCATAAAATGAGGGGCTTATATCCGGGGGAAAAGGGCTTATAAACGGAATAAAAAACCGTTTCAAAATGAGCTACAGCAGTGTTGATCGAAGTACCTTTTTTATATTATTATGGTTTTTAATGAAGCTTTAAAGCATCATAATATATCGAATTCCTTTCATTTTAAACTAGAGGGGAGCTTATAATCGGAAGTAATATATGTGTACAGGTGGATGGCACTAAAACTGGAGGGGCTTATAACCGGAGGGGCTTATAAGCGGGAGGGCTTATAAGCGGGGGGGCTTATAAGCGGGGGGNGATACCATGATTTTTACATCAAGTGATAGAGTGATTATAATGACCCATCAAAAGCTAACTGTTGGAAATATATCTGGGAAGCTCATAATCAGAGGAAATATTTTGTTTACAGGTAGATGGGCCTTATAAGCGGCAGGGCTTATAAGCAGCAGTTTGGGAGGGGGCTTATAAGCTGAGGGGCTTGTAAGCTAGCTGGAGGGCTTATTTACATTATTGTGCTTGTCACTTCAAACCATTCTGTTTTGAAGTAGAATTGACGTGCAAAGTAATACAATGATTAACGTTGTGTCATTCAAATGGTTAACGTTTTAACAATTTACGCTGCGCTACAAAAAATGGCGATCTAAACCACAGCATTTTCGTTTAAGATTTAAAATATGTCAAATGTGAGACACACTGAGATAAGATCGAGAAGTTACAGTCACAGAATTTATAATGTGATTCAGTAATTTTGTGGATTTTTTTTTCTCGCCATACCTTTATCGTGTAGAAGTGCAGCGACTTTTGTATTGCTGTCTTTGTAATTTTACTATTGATTTTTGTCGATTGTTTGTTTATTTTTTTCATGATCATGTTTGCAGAAATCTGGCGCGTTTGTGTACGGAACTATCAGCTTCACAGACAAATTGTCCAGCGGTGTAATCATTGCCATCATTCAGGAGATGAACCCACGAACTAACATGACGTACGTGCTGGCTTTCTTTTGCTATTTTGTAGAATAAACTATTTCCAAATTACCTTTAGCCTCTTCCTCAAGGTGAGTCTTGGTGCCCGTCTTTCATATGAAAATGAGATTTTATTCACATGCAAATTAAACTCATTTTCATGTAAATGGTAGTGTACCAGGCCTCGCCTTGATAAAGGGGCTTAATGCAACTCGCAAATGGACTATTATGGAATCAGAAAAGCCCAATAGCTAGCGCTGTCATTGTAGTTATCGCCGGTTTGACATATAAACAAGGCGATAGGGTCAATGCTGCTTTGTATCGACGCTTTCGCCTCGTTAATATGTCTTTTAAAACGGAAGGATATTTGACCGCGGGCTCAACTGCAAGAACAACTATTCGGTCTTTGGCATAACTACAAATGGAATGCTTTCGAAACTAATTTCGTTTTTTCCATTTTTCAATTTCCGCCGAAAAATGTTTTTTTTCTCATCTTTGGAAGTGTGCAAATAATTGCACTTAGTTTTATTCTGGTCAGGCAAAAATTAAGACATACTGTAATAAGAAAATTAAAGTCGTTTGGTGCTTAGCATTTTTTGTTGTTTCTGGAATAAGTAACCTTACCGAAATGAAGATTTGCAAAAGATTTTCGAACTCCGCTTTAACACAGAACCCTCCGGCCAAGCATGTAAGGTATATGAAGNTTTTTTTTTTTTTTTTTTTTTTGAAGGGCAAAAAAAGCCTGATGAGAAAAATGTAAAGAGGATGAGCAAACTATGGCAGGTTTAAGCGTTCAGCTCATCGCCGTTCGCAAGCAAATTTCAGCTAGTACAAACCAGTTTAATTTTTTATTTTTTTTTATTTTTATATGATAAACATCTTCAGTAACCGAGCTTAGTCGGTCTGTATTGAAGAATCTTGACCTTGGTCGTGAATGCAGACCTCACTGCGTTCGGTCTGTACTCACGACCTCAGTCAAGATTCTCCCATACAGACCTCCTGCTTGGTTAATAAGAACTAAATTATAGGGAAATCCCATGAGAAACAAGATGCAATTCTTTTTCTTACGATGAGACCTGACAACGTTGCAAACATTTAGAAAACCTGTATATGATTGGGAAGACGACGTTTATTAGGAAATGCATTAACATTTTACTTCAGAATTTCGCAGTTATCTAGATCTATTCAACATGTCTCTCTGTATAACTTCTTCGCCCGTCTGAATCTGCTACAAATGCGTTCAGTTCCAAACAGAAATGTGGAAAAATTAGCCTCAGTGGTTCACGTTCTCCACAAAACTTGGAAATTTTTCCTTTTCAAGTTGTGGATTTGCAATGGAGGTTACGTAATTTACCAAGGTGCATAATGCACTTGAAGATCCAATGTTCTGCTCATTAAGCCTTTTGTTGGAAAACATTTTCGGAAAAGTTGCCGTTTTTTTTCCGAAAGGTCCCTAGGGCCTGGTTCACGCTAGAGACATAATGGCATAACAACATAATCGCTTTATATGTCGGTAATGTCAACATCGGCATAAAAGCATAAGGAAAAGGTCAGATTTTTTTCCTTATCACGTTATGTTCATGCTGTTATATTGCTATTATTTCATTATGTCAGGGTGTTCACACTGCAAACATAACGGAATAACGTCCTTCTGATGTCGTCATGTTTACGTCGTTATGTCGCCTGTGTAACCTTAGCCTTACTTTCAATTGAAAACGTCGCACTGAAAATCCTGAATCCCAGCAATAAACACCTACATGTATTTCCAGCGCCCTTATTGGGACTCCTTAGAACTGTGCAAAGCTTAGTTACGGTTTCTAGGAAATCTTTTTAAAATTGTCCTCCACCTTATGACTCCGTGCTTCTAATAGCCTTTTGTAATTATGACAATTCATTTTCCCGCCTAACTGATCGCACTGCTTCTTTTAAATAGTGGACAAAGTTGACGCGGCAGTACAAACGCACTGTGAAGAGGTTTTAGAACAACAAGGCAGCAGCGACATTACAAAATGGTGTGAAGAAGTGGAAGAAAAAGTTAATGAAAAGTCTTTGGATTGTGAAAAGGGGAATGCTTACGCCGGTATTCCTCGAGCAATGGATAATTACGTGGCCTCTAGGCTGGCCACTCCATTTCTGCCTTCCCCACTTTTGGATCGACGAACAATACTGTGAAGTACTGAAGCAGCTTTTTGTCATATCAATTCCATGGTGGTTTCTTTCTAGTTTTATAAAGTTAAACGTCAACATAATTGCAAAGTTTCGCCGCGTAAATTTCATATATACAGTCGGATCTCCACTATAACGGACGTCTCTCTTATAGGAGTACAACTACTTTTAAGCCTGGTCGACACGGGTAATTTGTATGTGGATATTTTTACGTAACAATTTTTATTTGCTCGTGTAGACGAGGAAAATTAACCAATTTTCATGCGATAAAGAGTTTGCCGAAAAGCTGGCGTGTTAGTTTTTATGTGACAAATTAAAGTTGTCACATACGAAAAACTGCTTATGTAGACGATTCGTCACATAAAACGTGGCAAATATCTTCGTCAGTGCCATACAAAGCATCCGCTTTGTTTCTGCGTATCTGTGCTGTCCAAAGTCATTACTGGCGCACTAAACTTTAAACTCTTGACAAAGCTTGAGAAATATTTGCACTGCCATCTACACAATTAAGTATTTGTCGCTTAAAAATGTCCTCATAAAAATTGCTCGTTTAGACCAGGCTTTCGAAGAAAAATAATCATTGTCAAGTCGTGCTAGCCACATGCAAACACTATGTTTAGTTTAATCTCCCATCAGTGAAGACACAAACCTGCCCTGGTCTTGAAGCGTATAAAGGAGTGAAAATGATAACTTAACTTAGAGTTTCGTAGAGAACCACAGATTACCGATGTTTTGCCTCTAGGTATCTGACCAGATTAGAAAAGAATAACAGCTTGGAGGAAGGAAAACCAATACTTTTAAGAGTCCTTTTAAAACGAGAACGTCTCTAAAAAATGCAAGAAATATACACTGTTAACATTTATAAACCATACCAAACACCAAACATAAAATAGAATCAAGGGAGAGAAGTTGACTTGTAATTTACACACTAGTGCATGCAAAGGGAAGAAATTATTGTAAAAACTGAAACTTGATATTTAAATGGGGGGTACGTGGATTTGGGAAGTGATGCTTTTAAATTGTGCAAATTCAATAATACGAAAAAAATTGTAGTAGTTTTCTTTGGAAGGTAAATAAACTAAGAGAAAAAGAAATGTGTTGAAATTAAATTACCAATCAATGCTATCATATGTCTGATTGATAATGGAAATAATGCAAAACAATAAAAAATCTGAAATCTGATCTGGTTTGACGAAATGCAGACAACTCAAAACTCTCAAGTACGTTTCAAGTCTCCTGACCTCGCCCCTTGCTCCCCCTTTCTGTGTCAGGTGGAGATTTACAGAGCTTTGTAAGATTGTGTCTCTTGAGCTAGATCAGTCACTTTTTTGATGGAAAGCTTTTTCAGTTACGGAAGTATGAAATACGTCTGGGCATGTCTGCTTTCAGGAGAAAGTTTCGCAAAAACTGGACAACTGAGTATGAGATAGAGCTGATATGGTAACATAGGTAAAATTTGAGAGGAAAGGAGATAAAGAAAACCGTCACTTTCCCAGATCCATTCAAAATTTATGATCGCACAATTACAAATACAGAGTTAAAACTGGCCTCGTTTACCAACCGCTGTTCTAAGATAAAACTATATTAAACGAGACAGTACAACGAGCCTTCAATTTATGCGTCCCTTGGATGAAATTTTGCTTCAGAATTTTTACGTTGAACTTGAAAGTCTGTTTGACATTTTGAAAGTTACCGTAACTTGTGAATACGTTTGGCTTTCTAGACCACGATACAAGTTGTCTGATGACGTCACTCTTTGACCATGTGACGTAAAATTAAACACTGTCGTATTAAAATTAAAAGCAAACCAAATGAAAATTTCTGATTAAGAAACATTTCTGAAAAACAACAAAATTCACGAAAGAAAAGATCCATTTTCTCAGTTTTAATGGCATAGCAGCAATTTACAAGTTTTATTTAGAAGTGAAGGGAATAGTAATTGCATAAGCCAAGCGAAACCAGGGTTTCTTGATGTTGGATATCGTTATTCTGTGTTGTCCTGTTTTCAAACTCTAAAGAAGTCACAAATATTCAGCAATTTTCAAATTATCTGAAAGAAAAGAAGATTTCATTAAGTTGAGAACCTGTCTACGGTAGCTTACCGAGTTTACTCTAAAGTAATTATTCGTTAGCTTCTAAAGCTACTTTCTGAAAGCTAAAATTGGTATCCGAGCATATTTTCGCGCCACATGGAGGTTATTTTTATGTGGTTTTTGGAAGGGTAGCAACTCTCGTAAGATTGTAATTCTGTCTGTCGCCGTAGTGTAACAGCTGTTATTGTTTTGAGGCTAGGGGCATTGTTTCTTTTGTTTGTTATACTGTCCTCCTAAATCATATTGAGCCGTTCATGTGAGACCTTGCGAGAGCTGCTTCCTGACCAACAGTTTTGATTAATTCTAAAAAAGATAAATAATCTGTGGACGTACTTTCAAAACATATAGACCAATACACAAACCACGTTGTGACTTGAGCATTTTTGAACCTTAACTTCCTCCGAAGGTAATAGACAGAACGTTGCACTAAACCGAAATGAGATGGGTCGGTTTAAATTATCTTATGCAGAGGTCTAACTTTTGAGCAACGAGAGGTAACGAGATTTTTGGTCTAGAACTTGGTTTAATCTTTAGTCTCCTCCACTCTTTCGTTTTTCTCTACATCTGTTTTCTGCTACAGCAACTTTACAACTGGGTACTGGCTTTTATGCCAGCTTTAGCTATACCCGAGATTCAAGCCAAGGGTAAATCAGGTGGCACAAGACAAAGTAATCGGACGTAAATCCTAAACGAACGCAGCTGACTTGATAAGGCGAGCAAAGATTAACCAATTGAAAACTGGAAAAAGGAATAATCTTTAACGACAGCTAACCTTAGATCTACCTAGGGGAGTTAATATCCAAAGTCGCAAGAACGACACACACATGTCAACTGGTGAACTTCCGATCCAAAAGTTCTAGAATGTAACGTTTTCATGGCCAAAGCAAACGGAAGAGGCTTTCAAGAATTGAGAATTCCACATATGTGAGTTAACCTTGGCTTGCCAAAACTAAATTTTCTCAAACACACATTATCTAAATACACTTATTACACCATACACTTAGTCCAATTTGGCAACTGATTGCACACGATATTCTTTTTCAATAGAATTTCAACAATAAATAGACATTATAATACCACTGATAATTCCGCTGTTTGATCGGAATCAGTAAGAGTCGGGTCCTTGCTTGAGCAAGATTAATTTGTTTATTTTCTTGTTAAATTGTTTTTCACAAACCTCTTATAGAACACGGTTATCGTCCAGGCTTGAGAAAGTTCTTTTTCGTCTGCCGCCTGGCCAGCGGCACAAATTGGTAGAGCTGTTTTCTTGATCCGCACAATTATCTTGGTATAATTTTGTCAATTTAGACCGGATCTGGTGATAAACAGTTTTCAGTGATCAAATTAAAAAAGGTATCTAGAATTGTTTTTTGTTGTTCTTTTGGTGACGTAAGTTGGTAATGGAATAAATCTTTGGCCAATATTCTGTTGGAATTCATTTTGACATGTCTAGGCTCAAACTGTACCAGTACATAGTTTTGCACCTAGGGCAAGAGAGGCGTTCACATGCAACTGTACGCTAACAATCGAATGATACTATAATATTATTATAAACTCTTTGTAGAATCATCTTGTGGGACCTTGTCGGT